CGCAAGACTCCAATCAGTTCCTCTGCACCCAGGGCCCACTTTTCCGGCTCTGGGGCAGGTGCGGGTTGGGGAAGGTCCTCGGAACAGAGGAGCGGCCGTGGATCCAGGCCCTGGGATGGAGGATGCCGTCTGCTCCTCATCTGAGTGGTGTTGGGAGGTGGGTGTCATCGCCCCGTTTTACTGTGGGAAGAAACTGAGTGCCCAGAGGATACGGACAGGATTTGATCGAGAGGGTGCAGTTTATTTATTTATTTATTTGTTTGTTTGTTTATTTATTTATTTTGAGTTGGAGTCTCACTCTGTCGCCCAGACTGGAGTGCAGTGGCCGCTCCCGGCCACTGCAGCCTCAACCTGCTGGGCTCCAGTGATCCTTCCACCTCAGCCTTCCAAGTAGCTGGAACTACAGGCGCGTGCTACCACGCCCGGCTAATTTTTTATTTATTGTAGAGATGAGATCTCGCCACATTGCCCAGGCAGGTCTGGAACCTGCGGGCTCAGGCAATCCACTTACCTCAGCCTCCCATAGGCGCGGGATTACAGGCTGAGCCACCGAGCCCGGCTAGAGGGTGCAGTTTATGCTAGTGGTCTCCAACCTTTCTGGCATCGGAGACCGGTTTCCTGGAAGACAATTTTCCAGGGATGCAGGTTAGGGATGGTTTGGGGATGATTCAGATGCATAACCCTTATGGTGCACTTTATTTCTATTATTATTAAATTGTAATATATAGTGAAATAATTATACAACTCACTATTAATTTTTTTTTAAAAAGAGGTGCTAACAGGTGGTAAATAAAATAATGGGCAGGCCACTGCTGATTCGACAGCGGCTACTATGCAGCCCGGTTCCCAGAGGCCTGGAGAGGCTGCCCATTAAGTCCATATTGTAATTCTGCTTCCTGCAGCATCAGACTTTGCACCAGACTTTTACAGCACCAGCTGGAAGACTATGAGGAAAGAGAGATCCCTCTGGTGCTTTGTCCTCTGACCACGCTGGAGCCTGGCATTTATTTTCTTGAAGCTCTCTGGGCAGTTAGGAGGCTGAAGAGGTCAGAAAACGTGTCCCTGCCACTGCCCTTATGGCTGCCACAGCCACCTGCAACCACGAAGCTGATGTGTGGACTCCACTCACTCACTACGATTGGAGCTTCCTTGTCACGTGGAAATGCCACCGAAAGCTGGCTCTGCTAAGCCTCTCCCCAGAGCTTCACATTTCAGAAAATTAAACCACTCCAGGGCCTGAGCTACAAGGAAAATGTAGACTGTAGTTGTTGAAATCCTGTGATACATACAGGGAGAATGTCGAAGAAAGGAGAGCGTGGACTGCAAGAGCACACTATTTCATGGCTATTTGAGGTCTGTCTTGGGACCCCTCCTCCCTCACCCCTGCTGAGATGTTGACTCCTGCTTCTAATTCCAGCTCCACCGCCTGCTGGCTGTGTCACCTAACTTCCTTGTGCCTCAGACCTCCGTTTTCTCATCTGTTGAGTGGGGACAGCAATGGCACTCACCTCCCAGTATTGTGGGGATATGTGCATAGAACAGGGTATGGCACGGAGGCAAACCCTCAACACCCTTCCCACTGTGTCAGTGAGACTGTGACTCTGGGGGGTGTGCCACAGCTCATCCGGCGAGAGGACTTCTGGTCAATCGGCGTCTGCTGGTATTGGACTTTGGTAGGAAGCTCCCTAACTGCAGGACTGGCCTGCTGGTGCCGGTGCGGTGGCAGGCAAGTGTCTGTCGATGACAGATGGGCGCGTGGGAACGCATTGAAGGGCGATTACGCCCCCAAGCCTCTGCCTCCAATCGTGTAAGGTTGAGCGGGCCGCGGTGAGGACGCGGCCGGGAGCGCTTTGGCCTTCAAGGCCTAGGCTTGAACCGAACCCTGGCTGGCTTTGCCCCTGCCGACGGCAGGACTCCAGGCGCGTTTATTTACTCGGTTTCTTTATGCAATGGGCCGATGACACCCACCTCCCAACTCCGCCCAGGTGAAGATGGGATCCTCGATTTAGAGCCAGGTCCCGCGGTCCCGCCTCTGATCCGGGGACCGTCCCGGAGTCCGGGGATGCGGGGCCCTGGGCGCGGCGGGGACAGCGCTGGGCACCAGCCCGCCGGGCCGGGACTCTCGGGTCCCGGAGGCGGCGCCCGCTTCCCCCAATCCTGGGACCGGCGGAAGAGGAAGGGCGGATTCCGCTTGGAAACGAAAGCGAGAGTGAGCGGCACCGGCGCTCCCCCCGGCCCCACCGTGAAGAAAACAAAGACATAAGCTTGACACGGTCCTTGTGCTTCTGGCCTGGCTCCAACAAGAACTTGGCCAGTGTTTTCTTCTCTCGGTGGTTGCCCCTGGGAATGTTGATCTCGTAGAATTCAGGTGGTGTGACCTCTGGTCTGCGTAGGCTGGATGTAGCCTGCTTCAATAAAAACTTTACTCAGGCCGGGCTCGGTGGCTCAGCCTGTAATCCCGCGCCTTTGGGAGGCTGAGGGGAGTGGATCGCCTGAGCCCGCGGGTTCGAGACCCGCCTGGGCAACTTGGCGAGACCTCATCTCTACAATCAATCAAAAAATCAGCCGGGCGTGGTAGCGCGCACCTGTAGTTCCAGCTACTCTGAAGGCTGAGGCGGAAGGATCGCCGGAGCCCAGCAGGTCGAGGCTGCGGTGGCCGGGAGCGGCCACTGCACTCCAGTCTGGGCGACAGAGTGACTCCAACTAAAAAAAAAATAAAAATAAATAAAAGAAAAGAAAAAAAACTTTACTCAGAACTTCAAAGAACACAGATGTTAATGATTTTGCTTAGACTCACAAAAAACAAAGATCTGAGTGCTGTGGTAAGCTTGCCAAGAAAGTCACAAACCTTAACCTGTTTCCCAGCTGATGCCAGCATTGAGATATTTCTTGTTTATGTCGTTTTGCCCTACATGAAAAACATGCCGTGAGAATCGACTTGCTCTCTCACCTATTGAGGAGAGAGACCTCCCAATCCCGCTGTTCTTTGTCTTTCTTTTCTCATCCCCCCCCCCC